ATAGATAGATAAATCATTACTTTCACTGTTTCACAGTATAAATTAACCCCTTAGAGTAGAGATATTTGCTAATACAAAAAGCATGCTGCTGCTGCTAAATGTCTTATATTGGCCATACATGTATCCATTTTCAGGCAAGAATATTCATACAAATATTTGTATGAAAATTCTTTGTACATCTGATGAATGAAAAGATTTTGTTTGAAAATTTCACTTGCTTTTAAAAGGAATGTATTTTCTGAAAGAAAACCATATACTGTCTGAAAAATTAGTTTGATCGAGAAGTTTTTTATTCTACTTCTTCAAATGTTCCCATCACTGTGGTCGAAAACAAACGTTGATTTCACTCCACTAACGTTTAGAAAATCGAAGGAGCGTTCTTAAATTGAACATTTTCAAAGGAAAAATGTGTTTACGTATGGACATCATAAATTACAGCAGGCAGAGGTAGCTTGTATCAAGCTACCTGCCTATGACAGGGGAGTCTGTCATGCATAATGTTATTACAATCTTGTCTGAAAATCTGCAAAACAGCATTTTTGGTCTTTTTAAAAAAAATTTTTGTTAGATAAAAATGTTGATCTCGGAGTTTGATGATATGTACCAGATTCAAGCTCTGATAGTATATACAACTCTTCTGTTATTCTCAGAGTAGATTAGATATTTTGTTCCCTAACCATATAGCTGGTTATTTATATTACCACTATATACAGATATTCAAGAATACATTGCCTTTTTTTAAACTGTACATATTAACTAAACTATACACCATGCTTTTTTGAGGTTTTTATCCAATTAATCGAAACAATAAATCGGCCAAGTAATCGATTATGAAAATAATAGTTTCAGCCCTACTGCGCTGCACCAATGGTGCATGTAAACTGAAGCACATCCGTGTGAAAAGCAGTCTTATAGAGGACTCAGAACAGTAAGGGCTCATTTAAATTTGCAGTGTAGGGAGTGGTAAAACCCCATAGTTAAGACATGTTTTTACCACCCCAACCGCGCACCCCCCCTTTAGCTGTAGTGACCAGGGGTGTACATATGTCACAGCAGGACCTATACACCCTGTCTTGGTGGGTGTAGCACCTGCCAAGCATGACCCATTCAAAAATAATGAGTCTGCACTGCAAGTGCCCTGCAACTTTTTACAGTACAGCAAACAAGGAGTGAAAGCAGGCACTATTGTGTTGCTTTCACACTACCTGCTTTAACCCCTTGGACCCCGCAGAAGCATACAGTTGCAGGCACTTGCAGAGTGCCCCCATTTACTTGACTGGCAGGCGGTATAGGATTGCCACCTCATCCCTTTAAAACCAAACACATATTAACCAGTTCCGCACCGCCCTATAGTAGAAATACTACTACGTGGGTGCGCAAATCACGTGTGTATATATACATGTGATTTTGCAGGTAGAGAATAAACAGGTGGCACACACACCTAGTGCATTATCCAAGGTTTATTGAAAGGTATAAAAGATAAAAACATACTCACAGACGAAGCATCTCTAAAAGCATTTGCATAATGACGATGGCCACAATGGCAAGCAAGGTGTTCCAACTGTCAGTGCGGTCAAATGGCTGACACGTTTTCGGGGACGAGTCCCTTTCCTCAGAGCTACTGACCAGCCTGCATACTGCCTCCCACACCCTGTTAGTCTTTCAAAATTATGGAAGACATCAATGGTCAGTAGGAAGTTGTAGGAGGTGGAGGGCAACACTTGGCTTTTTCTCTCGCAGCTCTGTCTCCTGTCTCCTGTCCTGCAGCTCCCTGCTGCTACGTCTCTGCCAAGCTCGGGCCTCTGTCTCTGTCCTGAACAGTATAGTAAAAACACGCACCTTTCTCTCTGCTCCCAACACACACTCAGATTATGGGAGGCAGTATGCAGGCTGGTCAGTAGCTCTGAGGAAAGGGACTTATCCCCGAAACGCGTCAGTCATTTGACCGCACTGACAGTTGGAACACCTTGCTTGCCGTTGTGGCCATCGTCATTGTGCAAATGCTTTTTAGATTCCTTTTTTGTCTGCGAGTATGTTTTTATCTTTTATACCTTTCAATAAACCTTGGATAATGCACTAGGTGTGTGCGCGCCACCTGTTTATCTCTATCTAGTGGCTAATCTCCCCATCTGAGGAGGGCTGCACCCCTGAAGCATTTCCTTTGGTTGTCGCTGTCCTGGTTCCCTTGGCTTCCCTTTGGCTGTGCATTTCCTGAGGCGCTGGAGAGTACATACGACGTGATTTTGCAGTTCCGGGTAAGGGGCCTACCCGCACCGCTATTTGCGGCCTCGGCTGTCAATCACCAGGTCCCTTCTGGTGATTACTCGCCGGCACCTGCTGATTGACGAGTACCTCTGAAAGGGGAGATATCTGTATGTAGACAATACAGATCACTACCCTGTCAGCTCCTGCACACTGCTTTGTATAGCTCTGCATAGCACAGACATACAAAGCAGTGGGCTTACAATGAAACACACACACAGCCCGCATAGTAAACCACACACCAGCACACAGTTAACCCTTTGATCACCCACATGTTAACCCCTTCCTGCCCAGTGTCATTAGTACAGGGTCAGTGATACCAAGTCAGTTCCCCCCAGTGTCAGAATGTCCGCCGCAGTCTCGCTATAAGTTGCTGATCGCCGCCACTACTGGTAGAAAAAAAAAATTTCTAGTATATATACCACCATTTGTAGATGCTAGAACTTTCACATAAACCAATTAATTTACACATATTGGGATTTTTTTTTTTAGCAAAAACATGTAGCAAAATACATTTTGGCCTAAATTTATGATGAAATTTGATTTTTTTTAAATTTTTTTACTGGACATGTTTTAATAGCAAAAAGTCAAAAATAATGTTTTTTTTTTCTCAAAATTGTCAGTTTCTTTTATTTATAGCGCAAACAATAAAAATTGCACAAGCGATCAAATACCACCAAAAGAAAGCTCTATTTGTGGGACAAAAAGGACATAAATTTTATTTGGGTGCAGCGTTGCATGACTGCGCAATTGTCAGTTAAAAAACGCCGTAACCCAAAAAAATGACCTGGTCAGGAGGGGGGGGGGGGGGGGGGGGGGGGGATAAATCCTCAGGAGGGCAAGTGGATAATGAGGCTATTTTATTGCAGATAAGGCACTAAGTGAGTTTAATTACCACCTTAATTAGCAACAGAACCTGTGTAATTAATTAATATGTGTTCGGTTTTAAAGGGCTGAGGTGGCAACCCTAAGGCGGTAGCACCCACTAATAGCAAGGTGGTTAAAAAATGTGCATTTATTGTTTTTGTCTGCAGGAGCCTGGAAAGCATTGCACCAGTGATCAGTAGATTCCTGGTGCCACGCAGGTCTCCTGCAGACCTTTCAGAATATCTGCTTGCCATACGGGATGTATGAGCCAGCAGATATACTGACAAGAAGCTTCAATGAACTACCACGGTGCTTCGAATTTGCCAGATAGTAAGGGGGAACTTCTCCCTGTGCTGTCTGTCAGGGGGTGGGGGGGCAGCTATGGGCACATGTTTATTTCAGGTACTTACTGTATATAGCGCTGTCAATTTACTCAGCACTTTACATATATATTGTACATTCACATCAGTCCCTAACCCTCAAGGGGCACAGAATCTAAGGACCCTAACTCACATTCATACATACACATACTAGGGCCAATTTGGACAGGATCCAATTAACCTACCAGCATGTCTTTGGAGTGTGGGAGGAAACCGGAGTACCTAGAGTAAACCCACCCATGCACAGGGAGAACATGCAAACTCCAGGCAGTTGGTGCCGTGGTTGAGATTTGAACCAACGACCCTAGTACTGCCAGGCAGAAGTGCTAACCATCTAGCCACTGTGCTGCCCTACATGTTACATATTCCACCCTAAAAACGGGTGGAATATGTAACATGTTCCCAAAGGTGAACTTATCCTTTAGCCTGCAGGACATTTTTTACTACTGCTGTAAATATGGCTAATGTAAAAACTCAGTGTTCTTCCATAGCTGGGAGCCAAAGGTGGGACATACCTGCCAACAGAAAAAGAAATGGCTTCACACCCCTGTACTCATGTAAACGCTGACACTTTATTGCATCAATGTTTACCTGGACATGTGCTACAATGTATCTGAAAACACACATATTTAATGCCTATCTACATCTGTGTGCACAAGGCCTGAAAATGAATGTTGACCTTTAAACATCAATTATGCAGTGGCTGCCTATGGGAAATAGATCACACAGGGGATAAAATCCAACTTTCCATCTGCAGAGAAACGTTTTGTAAATAAATACGTCATTTGTGAAGACTTTCCACCCCTGACAGCAGGTCAGGAAAAGCAATTCAAATTCTAATCAGAATCCACCCTGATATAAAGGTTGGTATTGTGTCCAGGGACATGCCATTGCAATGTCTACACCCGCCATTGTGTCTCAGCACCTGGGATGGCAACATGCTGGGATAAAGGATATAGAAATGATAATTACTGAGACCCTAGGAGGAACTGTCCATCACTTTTCCCAACACTCCTCAGAAACACACATATACTGTCTACTTTTACACATTAACCACTTTCCCTCCAGAGGATTTACGCCCCTTCCTGATTAGGCCATTTTTTGCGACACAGTGCTGTGTTACTTTAACTGACAATTGCACGGTCATTCAACGCTGCACCCAAATTCAATTTCTGTCCTTTTCCCCCCTCCAATAGAGCTTTCTATCAATGGTATTTGATCACCTGTGTGTTTTTTATTTTTTGCACTATAAAAAAAAAAAAAAAAGGCCAACAATTTTGCTATAAAATATATCCAATAAAAAAATTTTAAAAAATCTAATTTTGTCATAAATGTACGCCAAAATGTATTCTGCGACATGTCTTTCCTACAAAAAAAAATCCCAATATGTGCAAATTAATTGGTTTACATGAACGTTATAGCGTCTACAAATGGCAGTATAGATACTGGAATTTTTATTTTGTTATACTAGTAATGGCGGCGATCAGCGACTTATAGCGGGACTGCAGCAGGCATTCTGACACTGGGGGGGAACTGACTAACTGCCACTGACATCCCCAGTGACACACTAACACAGTGATCAGTGCTAATAAAAAGCACTGACACTGTACCAATGACACTGGGCAGGAAGAGGTTAACATCTGGGATGATCAAAGGGTTAACTGTGTGCTGTTTTACATGAAGTGCTGTGTGTGTTTTACTAGGGATACATGCTGCTTTGTATTTCTTTGCTGTGCAGAGAAATACACAGCAGCATGTCCTTGCTGGCAGGAGAGAGACCTGTGTTGTTTACACACAGGTCTCTTCCCTGTCAGTTCTACACGTCAATCGCCAGGTGCTGGCCGGGAATCTCCGGCCGGGACCCGGTGATTGACATCCCTAGCCGTCAATGGTGGTAAGGGTAGGGCGGTGTACTTGTGCGTCCCCTACCCAGAAATGACACGCACACACACTATTTCTGCTATAGGGTGAAGGGGAAATGGTTAACCAAAAACCCTGCTGAAAGTAGGACTAAAGGCAAAAGTTTTTTTAATTTTAGTTTTGGGTATGTTGGAAAGGGATTAGAATTCATCCCCTCGGTTTGTCCTGGTGAACTTTATCGGTTAAAGTAAAAGAAAATCCACCAGAGCAAGAATAAAAGAGAGATCTTCCAACGGGGTTACCAGGGATTTCCTTCCACGTCTTGTGGCTATGGGACAGGAAGTGAAGGGAAATCTACCCAATAGACCACAGGTGAGAAAACAATGACAGGGATTATCATCTTCTCTAAAGCCTGGTTCACATCTGTGCGGGTGGTGCCACTGAGTGACCCGCACAAATACCTGCAGCCACCCCACCCACACAGAGGAATGCAGGACCCATAGGCAGGTGTCATTGTACAATCAGATTGGATAGTGTAGGGCCACCATAGAGGGGATTGTACAATCAGATTGTATAGTGTAGGGCCACCATAGAGAGGAGTGTACAATCTGATTGTATAATGTAGGGCCACCATGAAGGGGATTGTACAATCAGATTGTATAGTGTAGGGCCACCATAAAGGGGAGTGTACAATCTGATTGTACAGTGTATGGTCAGCCTTCCATGAAGTTTGGTCAGGCTCACATCTTCTACCATTAGGCAGCCTTCTGAGCAGTCAGTGTGGTGAGCTCCCTCCTGTCTCCTGGCTGTCACATACAGCTGATATCATGGATCCTCCGTGCTCCAAGCTCCATGCTCCATACTCCTTCTGCTGCCTCCACCAATATTGCGGAGCTTTGAAACAATGCAGGATACAAACAGGCTCGGATTCAGCCAATCCCGGTCCAGGAAGAAGCACCGTGCGTGATTGGCTCGCTATAACTCCAAGATCACCAATAGGGGCACTCAGCTAAGAACCAATAGGAAGCTGCCAATTTCAGCATTCGGCACTCAAGTATTTTAGGGTGGGACTGAGCAGCGAGGAACGCCCACTATAATCCCTGCTACCAATCATAGAGCGGTAAATTGGTGACAAACGCTCAGTGAGCGGTGACGTAGCCTGGCGAGCGTCGTACGGCTATATGAAGGGCGGTCCCGCGCAGTGAACTCCAGAGACGACTCCGGGTTAGATAGCGGACTTGTGCTGAAAGATCGGTGAGTATGGCTGGCGGCGGGATAAGTAAGGCCTGTATGGTGACGTTATTGGAAGGTGCGGGGTGTGCTGAGGGGAGGGACACCGGAACGGTCCATAGCTGGCCTTGACTGCCCGGTCACGGTCATGACGTCATCTAGCGTTGGCGCTCCGTGACCTCCCTTGTCCGCCATGGCCTATCCGGGCAACCTCTCGTGAGGGTGGGACCCCTATTAGAGGGAAGTCATTGGGGGGGAAATCCAACCCCGTAAACGTTGGCGTATGTCTGTGTCCCCGGTGCAGCGTTTCCCTCGCTTCCTGTCTGTTGTCACCAGAATAGGGAGGACGCCCCTGGCATAGCAGCAAACCCTACAGGGGTTATAACACCTCTCATCCACATCCGAAAGGCTTCGTCTGGGCTTGTGCTGTGGATGAGGTCCTGTAGGAAGGTGTCAGTGCTCAGTAGAGGTGTGGGCACACGGCTGATGGAAGCTGCATGGTGGGGAAGGCACAGTCATTACTAAGCAGGAAGCAGAGTCTGCCTATGGAATAGAGAAATGAATGGAGGGCTGTTACTGGGAGGATGGGCTGATCTTCTGGATCCAAATCCTGCTATCCCTCTTCCTTGGGTGTCCCCTCTTTTTGGTATGAAGAGGGGGGGGGGGGGGTTACTGCAAGGGTTAAATGTCTGCAGCATGTGAGGGGTGTGTAGTTTTTGTTTTGGTGTGGGTTAGTGTGCGTCATGTGGGTCTTTTTTTTTTTTGGGGGGGGGGGGGGTTTTGCCGTGTGTGTGGTGGTGTTTTTGTTCTTTAGAGGGTAGGAAGGTGAAATCCTTGTCTTCAGTTTGTGTATATAAAATCCTGAAAGAAAAACCAGCTCCTATCTGATGGGCAGCCTTTCTCTGCTGTATGACCTCACAGGCCGTGCAGGACCAGCCATCCATTGTAGGTGAGGACCTGGGCACAGCTCAGTCCTGGCTTGCTGGGGGGGGGGGGGGGACTTGCGGACAAAGCCAAGCTCTCATGGTAGCCATACACTCTGAGAAATGATGTCTTTTCAATTGATCTCTCAATAGGTATAATAGACCTACAAAATCTATCAATAGACCGCACAGGGGAAGTGGATTGATAGTTGGGAAAACATGGCTGTACTTTGATCACATGGTTTCCCCATGCTTCCTCCTCTGGAGTTTTGACTATCATCTGTTGCTGTCAGTTATTATGCAAAACAATCTTTAGCCAATCAGAAGGGAAGCTTTTGATAAAATAGAAGCATGTGTGGACATCAGTAAACTGGGGGGCTGTAAGCTTTTAGTAAAGCTTTGTTGTTGCTTATCACCTAGCTGGGCTGTGTGTGTCCATAGACAGTGCCGGCGAGTCACGCCCCTGCTTCCTCCTACAGGAGCCTATGGATTACTGTCAGAGCAGGAAATGAGGGGAGCGGTGCTGCAGGCAGGACAGTGCTGGATCAGTGCGAGGAAGCAGGAAATGTTTACAACCCACCAGCCTTGCTATTCTGCATGGTCTGTGTAACTGGGGGTGGGTCTGCAAACTTTGTGGTAGCCATATTTCCTCCTACCCCTCCTGAGATCACAAAGGGATTTTTAGTGTGAAGTACAGGTACCAAGCTCACCCTCTGAAAATCCTGCTTTCCAGAAAGTATGGCTCCAGTACTTTGAGGCCTGGTGCACACCAATGCAGTTTTTTAGCACTTTTGCAGAAGCCTGCTACAGTCCACATGGTTTCCTATGGGACACGTTCACATCTATGCTTTTCAGCTGCTGCATTTTTGGGAAGGGGCAGACTTTTGCATTTAAAAAGAAAAAAAAGGGGTTTGGTTTAATAGACTTCAATGGGGATGTTGCAGAAAAGCATGTAGTGCATTTTTTGCTACATTTGTTGTTGTTTTTTGTTTTTTTTTTTTATCTGCTCAACCACAAATTGGCCAAAAAAAAACACGAAAAATGCACCGCAGCAACGGATCAAAAGCAAACTGCATAGGTGTGAACCAAACCTGACACTGACCTGGAGCTCATGATGTGTGGACTTGTTCTGGTCACTGACCAGTGAGAAGTAATACAACTGTTGTATCAGTATGATGAGCAAGTGACTTTAGAAATCGGCTGGCCTGGGCAGCTTCCATGCATCCTCCTGCTAGAATAGCTATGAAGGAATGGCTTGCAAAGACTTGGGGGGCTTGCATGACAAATTGGACCTGTTGTATCACACATGAATGTATACTTATATTGTTTGTTTTTATTTACAGATAAATCATGGCACGTACAAAACAAACCGCCCGTAAATCAACTGGAGGAAAGGCCCCACGAAAACAGCTGGCTACAAAAGCAGCCCGTAAAAGCGCGCCCTCTACAGGTGGTGTGAAGAAGCCCCATCGTTACCGGTAAGCTGTGGTCTACCGATTTGTTTGTAACAATTTGGTCTTGCCTTGATGCTTGCTAAAGTAACTGCAATACATACAGTAACTGACAGACCAACATACAGGCGTGCAGACCATACATACAGGCGTGCAGCCATACATACAGGCGTGCAGACCATACATACAGGCGTGCAGCCATACATACAGGCGTGCAGACCATACATACAGGCGTGCGCGCACACACAATTCTTTTCTTTTTTTTTTTTTTTTTTCTCTACAGTTAAGTAAATGATCCAATAATTGCAGTGGGGTGTGTGCAGATCTGGGAACTCTGCTTAAACATGTCACCGCTGGAGTTCCCAAGAATTATATAAAACAGGTGGTTTATCTTTTTCATTTTTTTTTTTTTCTTTGCCACGTAGGTGGACTATGGGATAGATTTACTAAAACTGGAGCACACAATTGGCTTCTAATGGCAGATTTGAGAATGCAAGCTGATTGGTTACTGCTCCAGTTTTAGTAAATCGCCCCCTATGTTTTTCAGTGCATTTTTGTTTGGCATGCTTTTTCTGTCCTGTAGCTAAAGCCCAGATCCTACTGCCGTTTAGTAGTTTAGTGAGTTTAAACTGGAAGTGCACCCCCTCCCCCACACTGCAGTGTCTGGTGTGTGGGGTTTTTGTTTTTCTCTCTACAGTTAAGTAAATGATCCAATAATTGCAGTGGGTGTGCACATCTGGGTACTCTGCTCAGACATGTTACTGCTCCAGTTTTTTTAGTATATCGCCCCCTATGATTTTTAGTGCATTGTTTGGACTACTAAGCGGCAGTAGTATCTGGGCCTTGGCTGCAGGACAGAAAAGGATGCCAAAGTGAGTTTAAAGTGGAAGTGCACCCCCTCCCCCACACGTGTTTTATTAATCCACTCCTACCTTGTGTGATAGGTTAGCTGCAATTATCACTCATACCAGTGAATCCTGATTGTTATGCTGCTCTCAAGTTCCACATGTAGAATGTGACCTTGCCTTCTTCTGTTCTACCTCATTGGGAGAAAAGTCGCTGGTACAGAATATGTACTTCTGGAGTTGGAATATTAAACATCTCACTTTTGTTGCTTGTTTCAGGCCTGGAACTGTTGCGCTGCGTGAAATTCGCCGTTACCAGAAATCAACAGAGCTTTTGATTCGCAAGCTCCCTTTCCAGCGACTGGTGAGAGAAATTGCTCAGGATTTCAAGACTGATCTGAGGTTCCAGAGTGCTGCCATAGGTGCACTGCAGGTAAATCCCAATATACTTGCTCTGTTAGCTGGCACTAGAGATCCTCAGACATCCTACATCTGAGTGGCAGATCTAGTGAAATTGGGGTGCTGGCAGAGATGTGTTTGAAGTATGAAGGTTGCCATTAAACTAGGAGAAAATCCTAAGTAGCCGAATGGCTTCACAGATCAGGAACAAGTCTGGGGATCTGGAAAGGCAGTCCTTGTGTGCAGATCCTTTCCTAGTAAAGGATTTCAACTATTGACGCAAGATGGGCTGCTTGATGGGTGGGGCAGGCAATGGCAGCCTTCATGCTTCTGTCTCAGATCTATGTATAGTGTGCTGGGGATTGGGTTCTGTATATAGGGGAAAGAATTGATAAATGTTGTCAAAATTGTGGAGGTTTAGGACCACCAGGGCTCTTGTGATCATGCACAGCCTGTTTATCCATGGAAGGCTTTTCTTCCAGCAGATTCCACATCTGCACTGTCCCTTGTCGATCCGTTGCTTCCGCTGACTTCTTCAGGTCTGGCATATTCTTGATATACTACTTCCCACCCACAGCATGGCAAGATTGTACACTGAGCTGTGCATGTGTAGTTTGTGTACAATGAGGAAACTTTAACAGACCTTGATGGAGCTCTAGAGTAAATGGGATATATGCAGTCTCTTCTGCTAGAAATTTTTTTTTGGAGTTGTTTTGGTTTTTGTTTTGTTTCATACCTGTCACTGCTGTGGAATTGGTATACAGCAAAAAGGAGGCAGGACTTCTAACTTGCATACTTATTGGCAACACTACCAGGTAGTGTTTTCATGCTTTCCAGCTCCATCAGTCTGGAATTCTGGGTACCTAGGTTGTGGAATGCAAAGAGGTTTGAATAGTGGTCCCCAAGGGACTGGTGAGCCTTATTTGTTTTTTTAGGGAGAGTAACTAGGTTTTAAATCTAGGCAGCACAATAGTCAAGGGTGGGAATGGTTTGCTTTGTGTATCAGCCTGCTTATTTGCAATAGCCAGCATTAACAAGACAAGCAGTTGGCAAATGTTCTGATTCTTGGTGCATGTCTTCAGCTTGGTCCCTAATTACAGAAAGGAATCTGTTACCTGGTTTCCTAAACTAGGCAGTTCTGATCTGTATCTTCACATCAACAACCTGGGGACATGATTGCGTTAATCAGCTGGTTCATATATTGTTTGCTCATGATGGCACACCTCCCTAATACCCTATCTTTGATCCTTACAGGAGGCTAGCGAGGCCTATTTGGTTGGGCTGTTTGAAGATACCAATCTCTGTGCCATCCATGCCAAGCGGGTGACCATCATGCCCAAAGACATCCAGCTTGCTCGCAGGATACGAGGAGAGCGGGCATAGTCGCATGTGGAAACTTGTTTTATAGTAAATGCCGTATATATTACTTTGGTTTTATTTCGTGTTTATTTTATATAAATCTGTATTTTTATCTTACAACCATTCCATCTGCCACTCAGGGTGAATGCTTATGATCAAGGCTGTCCTTTGCTGCCTGCATAAAGCAGGGACTTTAGTGTAGGGACAGCAGGTGCTTTTTTGCTATTTGTATGATGTTGGTAAACATGTTCCAGGGTGCTTTGCAGCCAATGCAATAACTTGTTTCTATGGATCTCTCAGCTTGAATAGTTGGGGCAATGCTGCCCTCTAGCTGGTTCTGTCTAACTGCACCAGCCAGACACAGGGACACATTCACCTTTTTCAGTTGTGTTCATCACTCATTTCACAGGGTTGGCCTGCAACTGTATATAGGTACATCAGATTACCATACTGGGAATTCTAGTCTGATACCACTGTGATACTTGTGTCTGTTAATTCACTGTCTCATTGTAACTCATAGCTATGTAGTTGAGTTAATGTTCTGGTGCTTCTGAAGTGTGCAGATTGATGTGTTAACAAGGCAGCTAAACACAATGTGCATTTATGAAAGCTATTTTCTATTGTAGTGTCACTATTTTAAATTAAATGTTTTACAGTTAATTTTTTTGTGTGCTCCTTTTACTTCACACTGGTCACTTCATATAAAAAATATTTATTTACATAATTGAATACAAGATACATTGTGGCACAATGTAAAGGTAATCTGGAGTTATGGCTTGACATTCCTTGGTCTTCATTCAGTACCTGATGTATTTGTTAATTCATACAAACCATTCTGTATGCTTGAATCCTACAGCTGTAATAGAAGCATACATTTACTTTATATTCACACCACCTGTGCATAAAAACTGATATATTCTATGCAAGTCAAATCCGTATATTTCTATTTTTGGGATTCTTCACACCACGTTTGTCTCCCATAAGGACCCAAAGAACACAACATTCATTGTGTGTGGTTTTGTGCAGAAAGGAGGAAAAAGATACTTGTGATGAGCAGGGCACAGAACTTTAAGTACCTGTCTATGGCTCTGCAGAGGCTATAAACACTAGTTACAATTAAGAGACTAACTGCTCTTATGGAATAGTAATACTTACACTTGGGTTAGGTTTACACTTGGTGCATGCTATGTTGAATATAAAGGATCATATAGTACTGGTATCGGCAAAGGCCAATAACTTGTGTGAAACTTGTTTTTACAGGAGGCGTAAAAAAAAAAACCCCATGCTACCCCCAGTTTCTGACTGGCCTAACTTTTGGACCTTACTGTGATTCCTTGCACTGCAGACACTTTCAATCCATCAGTAAATCCCCTAGAATGACCCCTGCCTGATGTAGCCTTCTAGGCAATGCTTGTGCCTTTTAGGCATGCTGTGGTGCTTTTTTTTTTTTTTTTTTTTTTTTTTTCTTTGGGAACCCCTGGTCATGCTTCTAAGGAACAAGGTAGTCTTGGACCATAGATTATCCTGCTCCTTAGGGTTAGCTATGGTATCCCTCCAAACCACATCTACAGTAGGTAGAGACAAACTCCCCTGTGCTTCCTACTCTGAGGACTATGTTAAAGGTTATAGTTTGAGATATATATATCTCATAGTCCTCCAGGGTAGGAAGTTTTGCCTCTACCTACTGTAGAAGATGTGGTTTATATCGATCTCTCTATCCACCACCAATGGCTCATTTTATGAGCCAACATGCTGAAAGTTAAGATTCCCCCCTACACTTTTACATGTTCACTCCATTGCATTGGTGAGTTTCCAGGGCACCATGCCTCTGTGTCCATCATAAGTCTACTACTTTTATACTTCTATCCTATCTGGTGGATGTTGAATCCTCAGCTAATGCCGCTTTTGAACACAAGGCTCTTGCAGCAGCATTCTGAAGCAGCTGTTAACCCTTGTGTGGATTGGGCCTGTGCACACAGTCCTGGTTTTTACCCTGACATTACCCACACTTCCTAATCCCTGATTTGGGATGTTCAGGGGTCTATAAAACACTATGCCTGGGTCCTGTACAGTATGACTAAGATAAAAAAAAGTTTGACATACCTGTAAATGTAATATCGAAGACTAAGGGCACAGGCTGCCCCCTCACTTTTGTTCCTTGGTTACTCTACATTGCTTGCTATAAAACTGAGGACTCAGGAGTGGGGAAGTGCCCTGTCCTCAAAAGCTTTGCCAGTGTCCAATTACCTCAAAGTATGAGTCTAACATGGGGTCTATGAGTAGTTATATCCTGTACTCCAAGAAATGGCATTTAGGGCACTTCCACACTAATCTTGCAGGCAAAACTGCATATACTTTTTTTTTTACACAGGACATGTGACTTAAACACAGATGCCTTTTCAATGGGGCAGTGTATTTTTATTTTTTGCCTGACCAAACATGCAGCAGACAGGTTTGTTTGGTTTTTTTTTTTTTTTACACTGCAATGGACCACTGTGAAGACATACATGCATCAGCCACTTTATTGGGCACCCCAGTTCAATTGCTTGGTAACACAAATTGCTAATCAGACAATCACATGGCAGCAACTCAATGCATCTAGACATGGTGAAGACAACTTGCTGAAGTTCAAACCGAGCATCAGAATGGGGACTTAAGTGACTGTGAACATGGCATGGTTGTTGGTCTTGGCTGGTCTGAGTATTTCAAAAACTACTGACCACCTGCAATTTTCACATACAACCATCTCTAGGGTTTACAGCGCATGGTCCAAAAATGAAAATATCCTGTGAGTTGTGTGGACAAAAATGCCTTGATGATGTCAGAGAGAATGGGTGGAGGGGTTCGAGATGATAGAAAGGTAACAGTAACCCAAATAACCACTCATTACAACCAAACTATACAGAATACCATCTCTGAATGCACAACATGTTGAAGCAGATGGGCAGCAGCATAAACACCGGATGCCATGCCTGTCAGCTAAGAACAGGAAACCAGCTACAATTTGCACAGGCTCACCAAACATGGACAATAGAAGATTGGAAAAATGTTGCCTGCTCTGATGAGTCTCATTTCATGTGCAACATTCAGATGATAGGGTCACAATTTGACATGAAAGCATAGCTCTATCCAGCCTTGTATCAACAGTTCAGCCTGGTGGTGGGATGGTGTGGAGGATATTTTCTTGGTACTAAGCAGCCCAAAGTATGCCAACTGAGCATCGTTTTAAACACCACGGCCTGAGTATTGTTGCTGGTCATGTCCATCCCTTTATGACTACTTTTACTTATCTTCTAATGGCTCCTGCCAGCATTATAATGCACCCCGTCACAAAGCTCAAAACATCGCAAACTGGTTTGTTAAACAAGACAATGATTTCAATGGCCTCCACAGTCACCAGATCTCAATTCAATAGAGCACCTTTGAGATGTGGTAGAACGAGAGATTCGCATCATGGATGTGCAGCCGACAAATCTGCAGCAACAGCGGGGTGCTATCTCATCAATGTAAACCAAAATCTCTGAGGAATGTTTCCAACACCTTGTTGAAGCTAAGGAATGAAGGCAAAAAGGGGTCCAACTCGATACTAGCAAGGTGTACCTAATAAAGTGGCCAGTAAATATACACAGAGAAGCGTTTTTGCAGCGAAAGCTGCCTTCCAGGCAAGTCACAATTCCACTTTGTTGAGGGTGTTTCAGATCTCTCATCCATGCTTCACTAACTAAGAAATGTCTGTGCTGTGGGCCCCCAACACCTCACGTTCAGGTGCCAACTCCAAGTTGGTTACATCCCCCCCAAATTAGTGAATACAAAAAGGCTGTTCCAGTAAGTCAATTTCCTGAGGAAGTAGCAGTCACTACAGTACTAGGTACCTCTATCAATCTCCCTGCCATTGCTGAGACCTGTAGCCCCTTCCTGCCCACCCTCAGTGGTTGGTGGAAAGGTCTGCCTGAGCATGACTGGCTGTCAACATGATCACATGATCAGTAGATGGTCTCCCAACTCCCGACTGAGAGCTGTCTTTGAGTGCAGTGATCTGGCAGTCATGGACGCATATGGGCCGTGTCCACCTTTTTTGTCACCGCACATATGCATTACATAGGTAACAGGGTAGAGACAACCAGCAGAAGGAACAATGGGTGGGTGAGACTTGCAGAGGCTGTGCAAGAAGAGAGGATAGGTAGGACATGCACACAGTATATATATCAATTAATACGGCGCTAGATAGAGCAAGATAATATAATTCAGTAAAGGTGAATATATATCAAAGGTGAATAAATATCTGACATCTAGATAGGGTGAAATATATATATATATCTGGCATCTATAAAGGGTGAGATAGAAGGCTAAGAGAGTGACATGCATTAAGATGACAAATGGTGAATAATGTCCTTGGTAAATCACACAGACTTCATGCAGGTGTGAGCTGCAATGTGCCAATCCTCTAAGGCTGGAGTGCCCCCTCACCTTCCTGCTCAGGCCCCCAGGGACCAGAGAGCATTGGGTAGTAAATAGAATAATCCTCCAGATGACATCTTAGGTATCATCCACTGCTGAGGCGTACCATCTGTTGCTGAGACCTACCTATCCAGTACTGAGGCTAGTCAAGAGGAGAGAGCTATACCTTCGCCGCCAGAGAGTTCTACCTGTCATCTGGAGGATTATTCTATTTACTACCCAATGCTCTCTGGTCCCTGGGGGCCTGAGCAGGAAGGTGAGGGGGCACTCCAGCCTTAGAGGATTGGCACATTGCAGCTCACACCTGCATGAAGTCTGTGTGATTTACCAAGGACATTATTCACCATTTGTCATCTTAATGCATGTCACTCTCTTAGCCTTCTATCTCACCCTTTATAGATGCCAGATATATATATATTTCACCCTATCTAGATGTCAGATATTTATTCACCTTTGATATATATTCACCTTTACTGAATTATATTATCTTGCTCTATCTAGCGCCGTATTAATTGATATATATACTTTAGTTCATGGTTTTGGTGCTGTGGCTGTGGCACCTTTAA